ATTAAATCATTTCAAGTACAATAATAGTGTGGGAGGTAAATTAACTAACCATTAACAATCTTATAAATACACAATTAACATGCCAACATTTATATGACACATTGATGGGGCAGCAATAATTTTTGATTGGGAGTTTGCAGACCTTTGAGAAGCCTCAGGCTGTTGCTTATTGGGATAAGTTTTCACAGATTACAGGTGAGGAGGCCCCACGTCTTTCTGGCACAAGAAAATGTGTAGAGAGTATCTGAAGGTTCTTTGAACCATTGGCTAGATGAAACTTTTTTCAGGTGTGTTTCTGCCTATCGTAAGTCCTTAGGGAATGTAAAAATGTATGGAGGGCTCATTTGTTTATGGTGGGATTATTAAAGAGAGTTTGAAGTATTGACTTTGTAGCTGAAATTGCATAAATTGCTAGAGATTTTAAAAAATATTCTTAAGTCTAACTAGAAATTCTTCTGTGGTTTCTGGTCAACAAGTAGGTGATCCTCTCATTTTTGAGAAATGAAGTTCCTCTCATTTTTGACTTTTATAGCTATTTTTTGCTTCTGAGATTTTGCACCTTATCTATAGCAAAAGTATAAGATCTGAATGGCATGCACAGACTGAAGGGCTGATTCATCCTGAGTTACTCCCTCTTTGCCACTTTTCTTTTTTCTTTTGATATCATTTACCTTATGTTTCTCTATAAACGATTGCAATAGTTGGAAGGGTTTATGTTTTATAAAGTCATTAAAATATACTTCTGTTGGCTTGATATTCATCAGAATCCACGAAAACTTTGTTCCCCACATTAGGGAAGGCTGCAGTAGCCCACAGGCAGGTCACAGGTCACGTGATCATTAGGAAACCATGGATCTGGAAAGTCAGAACATCGGAGTTGTGTTTGGAGTTGTACTTAGCATGTGATGACCTTAATGTTTGTTGAATGCATGAAGAATAAAAGGAGATAATCCAGCTGGTACATTAAAAGTGACACTGTCGTCTTGGACGTTGCTTAGTGTTCTCCACTCTTTGTGGATGTGCTGTGGTGTCCACTTTTAGTAAAAAAACCTTTGTGTCTTGAGGTATGTAGAGTTAAAAGTGGGAGAATGAGTGTGAAAAGTGGGATATCTTAGGAGATCAGACCTCCTGGAGTCTGAGATTATTACTTATCTGCTAGTTTAAAGGTAGGTAAGGAGGGCTGACCCATGACTTGTGACATTCAAGACAACACATGTGAAGTGGGGAGCAGCTTTTCCAAGCCGTGTCCTGTGTTGCCTCTACATATTAATATGGGTTAGTGATTCCAAGGGGGAAATGTTCAGAGGTCAGATGAATTTGAGCTGTATTACAGTAGGTTCCCTACTCTTGGAGATTCCCAGTAAACTTTAGTGGTTTGTTTAAAAACTTTGAGAAGTTATGTAATTAAATAGCAAAAAAAAAAAACCTTGAATTTTTTTCTGCTCTGGCCATTTCTTAGAGATTTTTAAATTTAAAATTTTAGAAATTATGGCAAATATATATAAAATAAAACCTACCATTTTAACCTTTTTTAAGTTTACAGTTCAGTGACATTAAATACATTCACATGGTTATGTAACTATCATCACCATCTTTCTTTATAACTTTTTCATCTCTCAAACTGAACGGGCCTCTTAAACATTTATTCCCTTTCCCTGCCCCAACCCTGCCAGACAGGGTTGTCTCTATGATTTTGGCTATGACTGGTACTCTATACTTATCCTTTTGTGACTGGCTTATTTCATTTAGTTTAGTGTTCATCATGTAGCTTGTATCAGAATTCCGTTGAAGGGTTAAATAGCGTCTGGTATATATCTATACTATATTTGGTTTATCCATTCTCTACCATACATTTTTTATGATCATGTAGTATCCTGTTGTATGTTTGTATCATGGCATATAGGCTGGATGGCATATGTGGAGGATGATGAGGTTACTTGCAGATAGCTCAGTATGGTAAGCAACCTAGGGACATATGTTTTGCTTACTTACCTCCTGAGAGTAGGTCCTACAATTAGGGTTATTCAAAGGGTATTTGTGTTTTACAATTTTGATAGATAATTATCAAATTATCATCTTAAAAATACCTAATTTTACCGAGTTGTTTCACTCATAGCAGGAGTATAAAGGACCAGGGGAGAAAATAATAATGAACAACTATATACCAGAGACATTTTAGGGGGGTGGAGTGGGAATGGGATCAAAAATGGGGAGGGGGGAAAGTGTACTGGACTATGGTGATGGCACATGGGTGAATTGGTGGTGGGAAGCCCACAAGGTTTACCACTGAGACAGAAAAATGCACAAAATGATGTATAATTTTTGTTCCCTCTTAAAGTGCATGAGAGAACCCTATTTCTCTTGAGTCCCTGCTAACATTTTTTAAAAATATTTTTTGATCTTTGCATAGCTGATCAGAGAAGATAGCTTCTTTTTCTCTGTGTTCTGCCTGACTTTGTCTTAGATACACCTTCAGATGATAATTTGTTGTTCCTAAAGTAATTTAAAACACCATCTTTTCATTCTGAAAAGTAGTGCTGAAGTAAGTTGATAGTGTGACAGTTTTGAAGGGCACTTAGAAGAGGAACCTTTGCATTATATTAATAAAAAAGAGGCAGTGCTTTCTTTACACAGATATGACTTACCTCTATGACAAAATTATATAGTTATTTCTTGGAGGTCAGGCTGCAACACTTACTGAATTCCTACCATGTACAGAAGGAATCTGGTTGTTCTGGCCCCTGTCCTGGTACTTAACAGTTCGTAAGCACATGCCACCCGCAGGAAGCATGTTTCCTGGAGCAGTCCTAAGGGAGTTCCTTATCAGAATTGATCGAATTAAGTATTTGTTGATCGAATCAGATTCCTCTATGTATGAGGTAGAATATTCAGTACAGAAGATATCTGCACATGTTGGGTGCTTTGAGGCCTCTGTGCTGTAGACTTGAAGTTAGGGTGTTGGTGTGTTGGTGTGTCCTCGAAAGTGCTTGCTTCTCCCAACTCTTTGTTGATAAGAGGTGATGGAGCACATGCATTTCTCTGAAAAAGTCTGAGTGTACTTCTGTATACTTTCATTGTTTTGCCCTGCGCTGTTTGACTTTTGGTGCCAGAACACAGATGGAAGAATGTGTGGCTTCTCTAGGAGCCCTTGTTTTTGCAGGGGAGAACTATTCAGTATGGGTGGAAAGTGCCTGCCCACTATGCTGGTGTGGACGTGCCTCCTGTCAGCAGGGAGGAGATTCACTGTGATCGCTCTGGCAAGCTGGGATGCTATGACTCTGTTACAAAACATTCCCATAAATGTTATTCTGCGGTCGTGTGTATCTTCAGGGGTACGTAAGAAGTTCCCATTTTTACAAGTGAAATTAAATGCTTCCCTTTTAATTTTCTATTTTTCCCTTTCATTAATACATCTAAAATGATTAATGTTTCTGAGACTTAAATATCTCAGATATTTGACAATTAGGAGAATCCTGTGGTTTAACAGTCTGTCTTAAAAGTACAAACTTCTTGAATCTGGGATGCTAACTCACCTTTGCATGTCCTTTTTGTCTAATGTAAAGTACTCAGTGAATATGCTTAAAGCAAAAAAATGAAGATTAATATAGTTTATATGATGAGAGATGCTCTTCAGCTTAATTTCCTCATAGTCTCAGTATTTTTATTTTAACACCAACTAGATGATGTTAAGAGAATATGTTATCATACAAAAAATTAAAACCTCAGTTAGCTACAATGATTCATTAACTAGACTTCCCCCTATGATACCTTTGTGAAAAAAAAAACAAGAAAATCTGTTGTTATAGGTTTTCCTAAATTAAGTATCTTCTAGAACTGTCTGAGGAACATATTCAGTCCAACCTTCACATTTCTTGTACTACATAGTCATTTCAGAGGGTCAGGGAACTTACCTCGATGACCTACAGAGACCTCTGTCACAAGGAAGCACCTACTTATTTATCTGCTATGAACTTACTAATGAAGGATGCATTGTGGGCATATTTTAGGATTCCTTTGTGAATTCATGTGCTTTTTTTAAAAATTATCATAATCATGTTATTAATAGCTACTTTTAAATGCAAAGTTATCTTTGTGCACTTTACCTGCATTATCTCCTGTCCTCTCATCCCTGAAGCCCTTATTCTATAAGTGAAGAAAAGAGAATAGAGATTCAAAGAGCTTAAGGTTATTTTGACCAGGATCTAGCTAGTAAGTGATATGGACAGGATTTGAACCCAGTTCTGACTTAGGTCCCTAACCATCATTCTGTAATACTTGCTTTGTTGAGTTTTCTCCTTTAACTCAGGAGGTACCATGTTGTTCCAAGAATAAACATCATTACAGTTTTTACAGGATTCAGGAAGTACTTATAATTAGGTTTCTAAAATAAGAAATGAATTTGGTAGCAGACAAGTTTGATTAATAAGTTTTATTTTAAAAGAACAATACTATCTTCAGTCAGAAGAGAGGAAAATGTATTTATTGAGCACTTCTGGTGGTATGTTTTGAAAAATTCCTAGTAACTTAAGAAAGCTTGTTTGTGCCCTTTCAGATATTTCACAACAGTGTGACAGGAAAAGTAAATGTAAACGGAAAAAGTACAGTTTCATGCCATCTTACATCATTTGAGGAAAATACAACTTGTTCCCGTATGACCTTACAAAGTAATGAGAAGACTGCATGGAGCTGAAAGGAGAAAGAAAGGAAATGTATTATTTTAGTAATAGTTAACACTCTGAGTGAACAGACTAAGGAGTTACTATTATTTTGTAAGAGACTAAGCCATGCTCTCATAGCATGGAGGTCTCATTGACTAGCTGTAGTCCCTAGTGCTTATAAGGATTTCCTTTACTTTAGACTTAATCCTTTTATGCTCTTAGGTGCAGGAAAAATGTTGATTTCTTTCAAGTAGCATTTTATCATATTGAATTTGTTTGAAAAATGATTCATTCATTTTCTGCCTCATTCTTAAATATTGCCGTGTACATCATGTTTTCTAGGTAGGTGAACCCGTGAAACAATATGAAGAGGAGAAAATAGCCTTTTAAGGAAATTGGCCCACAGAAAGGATGGCCTTCTTGGACAATCCAACTATCATTCTAGCTCATATTCGACAGTCACACGTGACGAGTGATGACACAGGAATGTGTGAGATGGTTCTCATTGATCATGATGTTGACCTAGAGAAAATTCATCCTCCTTCAATGCCTGGAGACAGTGGGCCAGAAATTCAGGGAAGCAATGGTGAGACTCAGGGCTATGTATATGCCCAGTCAGTCGATATTACCTCAAGTTGGGACTTTGGTATTAGAAGACGCTCAAATACAGGTAAACATTGCCTTTTAGTTTTGTCTCCTGATCTTTAAATCACTAAACAATCTTATAGAATAGTACATAGTTTGGGTGTAGATTTAATGAAAAAGTTGCTGTGTATTAACAATACACAGAATAAACCGGGAGTCTAAGCAACATCTCCATTACTGTGACTATGAATGGAGAGGGTCTCTGGAATGATGTCATTAGAAGAGGAACAAGTGAAAAGCTGACATCAGCACCATGTTGGGTGTTCTGTTCCTAAAGCATCATTATGTACAAAGGGAGGGGACTTGTTTTGAATATCTTCACAGTGCAGCGTTTGACCTACTGGGAAGACTCTCTGGAGACAGATTTCAGATTGACATAGTAAAGCCAAGTTGTGCTCTGCCTGAGGCAGTTCTTGCCCCTGGAGGAATTATAGGGTGTTAGGCATTGGGGAGAGTGAGCCAAATATTTGTGAGGACTACTTTCAAGAGGAATTCCTACTTTGGGTGTGACTTTAGCAAAGGTACCCCTTTTTGATACATTACCCTAATTTCTTAAATTGGTTTTTACCCTTTGATCTTTGTGGTTACAAATGTTCAGCTTTGGTTTATATATGGTTGGTTGTTAGCTTTAAAAGCTTACGATTGCCTACTTGCATCTTACTATATTTTTGAGAAGACTTTCAAGGGGAGTGTGCTGATAAGCCAAAGCCTTTACTTAAATAAATAATTTAGAATATGTAATGTTGGCAGGGTTTCCTGAGAGATAATATTTTTTTAGATACTCAGAAAATACAATCTCCTAATTAGTAGCAGTAACCTTCTAACTCCCAGGAAAGGAAGGAGATGTCAAAGAACATTGAAAATATTTACACGTTTATCTTCATGGTCCTGTAAATAAAGGAATATTTCACATAGAGTAGAATACAATTTACAGTGAAAGGCATGTAAGGTCTGGTTCAGAATTCAGCATTCTGTGACATCTACAAAGAGTGATTTGCTCTCATGATGAAAATAATTAATAGCATTTCCCAGTATCTAAAGGAACTTTTATCAAAATAGGATTTGAGTGAAGGTTTGAATGTAATTTAGAACCATTGATTCTCAGTTCTCTAGTTGAAACTGACTTCCTTGCAAGTTATTGAGATGGTATCTCATATGACAGGCTGAATGGATTTCAGTAGGAGAATGCTGCTAAATGGAGAGTTTTATGATTATATTATTTCGGCTCTACCTTCACATTTATTAATTGTACTTGAATGTATTTTTCTTCAATGGAATGTGGTTAGATATAGTGTGACATTGTCAGAATGCTTTTGCCAGAATGTTTAAATTTCTGGCAAAATTAGTTTCTCTACTGCAATGGCAAATCAGGAGTATATGACTTCCTACCTCAAAAGTGGTTTGAAAGAGAAATGTATATATTTTGTTTTTTATTAGCACAGTGCTGAAATAGATAGTTGCAGATGAACAAGAGGTAACAAAATTCAAGACAAGGCATCACTTTTCCACTGTGGTCAGTGAACGCAGTTGTTAATGTGTGCCAGGCAGCATTTCTGTAAGAGTTAAGTTCACTGATTTGAGAAGATTGGTCAGTGGTAACATAATCACAGTGCATACTTTTAGGTTATACCTTTGTTTGCATTTAAGGTAGCATTTAGATGCTAGTAAATTGAGATTGTGGGGTGGTCTAGTGACCAAGGAATTTACTTTCTAATCATTTCAGCATATCTTAAAATTTTGTATGAGAAAAATTGTTCTTTTTAAGATTTGACTAATGTTACTAAGATACAAATCATTTATTTTACTACCTATAAACTGTTTCAGCCCACTGAAGAAAAGCTATGCTAATTTATATAGCTTTGACATTTTATAATTTTCATGATTTTTAGATAAAGGATTTTATATTTAAAACTTTAATAGTCTAGTCTGAGTTCATTTATCTTTAATTTTTGAAACGGGTAGAGTAATTCATAACAGTAATTTTATTCCTGTAATGTAATATTCACTTCAGTTCATTTGTGCATTAAAATTCCTTTAAGACCGTTATTAATGATTTATATAATGAAATGTCATATTAATCACAGAAGTTTTCACATTTTATTATTCTCTTCCATGTTAATACTATCTTTATGATCTCTATTAATGTTTTATATCCTCTAATTTCAATTATAAATCAAGAATATTTTCATGTTTTTGTTGGTATTTGCTTTTCAGGGGTGCCACCTTTAAAATTTTATGACTTTTCCCCTACATATGCAATATAAAACATCTTTATTCATATAAAGGTAGTTAATTATGTCTTTGTTTATAGTAAACTTTCATTGACAAACTTATAGTTATAATATTTCTTTTCAAGCTCAAAGATTAGAACGACTCCGAAAAGAGAGACAAAACCAGATCAAATGCAAAAATATTCAGTGGAAAGAAAGAAATTCTAAGCAATCAGGTAAATGGAAATCATTTTTTAATTTGAAATTTATTCAGTTTATTATGTAAGCGCTTTTATTTTTAATTCATCCTTTTAAATATTCCAGGCAGATACCTTGTTTTTGAAGCTTTAAGCTATCTTACTTGGGTGCCTTGGCCCTCCGAAGCTGTGTCTTATCTTTTTGGCCACTCTTTGTCTGGGTCACAGGAATTGATGTGTGCAAGGCACATTTTGCACACACTATTCCTGCCATTATTTTGTTCGTAGAGCCAAGGAGTACCATGATGGTCCTCTGGCAGTTCAACCTAGACTTTCCCTTGCCTCATTAGTGGCCCTAATAACAATCTGTTTTGCATATGTGCTAATTATTTTCCATTAGCTTAAAAACCATTATGTTGCTGCTATTATTAGCATTAACTTCATGTTTTCATGTAGTGTATATATTAAAAAGCTGGCCATATGTGTTTTCAAAGCTTCAGTCTGAGAAGAAAGATATTTTTCAGACTAAAATACTGTTAAAATATTATATAATGTTTATATCATGTTTCCTTGCCCTTTTTTCTTCTCTCAAAGACATGTCTGCAGTCTGTCTTCTATGTCCTCCTAGCATCTCCCAGTACTGCTCTGGCATGTAATTGTGCCCGTCCATTTGTGTTGACTTTCTCCATTGCTACATAATATTTATGAAATGAAAAGTACCAGCATCTGCCAGTGCCAAAGTATTTTACATGCTTTACCTTCAATGCAATGAACTTAAAAATTGTAAATATCATTGTTGTCACTAATAGATGAGTCGGGCTTAGAGAGATTTAACTGTGAAAGTTACTAGCCCAGGAGTGGTAGTGTAGTAGCGACATGTTTTATATTGAGCACTGTCTACTTTTAAAGATGATCTTTTTCTGTTAAACCACGTTATGTGAAGTGGTTATTGCTTTTCCCTACATCCTAGTCTGCTCCATGGGCATGCTTTTCTTTTTCTAATTCTTTTTTTTTTTTAATAATATGATAGTTAATTTTTACATCATTTTGTGCCTTTTTCCACGTCAGTTGTAATCCCTGTGGGCTTCCCATCACCATATCACCTGTATGCCATCACCATAGTCCAGTGCACTTCCTCCCGCCCCCCTCTCCAATTTTTTATCCCATTCCCTACTCAACCCCCATAAAATGTCTCTGGTATATAGTTGTTCTGGATATGCTTTTCTTAATGTATCTTTCTGAGGATGGCTATGTGGAACCAGAAATCCTTTATACTTCTTTCTTTTTCTAATGGCTTACTTCTGTGACTTCTATCCTTCTTAATGCCTTTTTTAGTTTGCTTTTGATGATTTAAAAATCTTTCTGGTTAATACTTTCTGCCTATTTAGCAAACACCAAAAAACCTTTTTATTCTATATCTTGTACACTTTCTTCAATTTTTTAAAAACATCTTAATGCTTTTTGTATTAATCTCTTAGTGAACACAGAGCCTGTTTATGTAAGCCCCTCTCCAGCTACCCTTTGTTTTTTCCTTCTTCATTTCCTTATCTAAAAAAGTTATAAATAAATAAATAATAGAATTAATAGGCAACTCAAATACAACTGGATTATCACTTTTATAATTTGAGAAATAAATTCTTCAATTTAACTTTTGATATACCTAATAATAAGATACATCTGATAAGTTTTGGTATATCTGCCACTCAATTCTTTAAGTCCAATCCACTTTTAATTTCTGTTCAGTGTTTCAGAGTTTGTGCTAAAGAAACAGATACTCCCTTCTTTCCTTTCATTTGCAACCATACTGACCTTTGTAATATTTTCTCTCTCCTTCAGTTTCCCCCTCGCTTTTTTTTTGCCTCTCACAGATTTCAGTAATTGGCCCTGTGATACTGTTTATGAAAAAGCTTCCTTAATATTTCTTTGTGCTTTGAAATGCTGACGCAGATTCTAGCTAACTCAGTGGCCTACTTGGTGGTCATTCTTGTGGTTAGAGTGTCTTCGAAGTCTCTGCATTCCATCATTAAACTACAGCTTGACTCTCTGGATTTGTTGAAACGTGTTAGAAAAGTAGAGTCCACTACATCTACTTGGCAACCAATCATCCATTGTGTTGTCATCTTTCTCAAAAACATAACTCTCCTGTGGCCAGAAATATCATAGCCAGGTGCTTTTGATCTTAATTGGGAATTTTGGTTAGGTAATCATTTAGTCACACTCTTATTTTTCTACTGTTTGTTTTGTTAAAATTCTTTTTTTCTTTATAACAAAAATAATGAACAACCATAGACCAGAGACATTCTGTTGGGGTGGAGTGGGGAATGGGATCAAAAACGGGGGGGGGGAAGGGAGGGAAATGCACGGGACTATGGTGGTGGCACAGGGGTGATTTGGTGATGGGAAACCCATGGGGATTACAATTGAGATGAAAAAAAAATGTGAAAAATGATGTAAAAATAAACTTTTTAATAAAAAAAAAAAATTCTTTTTTTCTTTTTTCCACAAGAAGAATCATCATTATGAATCAGTTATTTTTATATCTTTTACAGCAACTTAACTCTTATTGGTTCTAATATGCATTTTCAACTTCCTAAATGTTACAGTATGTGTTTTTTCATTAACCTGATGATTAAATTTCTAGGCTATTTTTCCTTCTGATTTTGTGGGGTTTTTGGAATTTCCAACTGTTTGTATTGGTTAGAACTTTCCAGTAGCAAAAACAAAAAGCAAGAGAAGTTGAAGGATAACTTGAATATGTATTCAAGAAGCATAGCTGTACCTTATGAATCCAGAGGAAGGACTCTTTCTTTTTTTTTTTTTTTTTTTTTGTACTTCAAAAACTAGCGGAGTGGGCATAGGTTCAGAATCACCTAAGTGCTTGGAGGGTCAGATAAAGCTCTTTGAACCATGAGAGAACGCTTTTTTTTTTTTTTTTTTTAAATTTTAAAGATCCATTTATTTGTGCATACAGAACTGGGGTACAGGCCAGAGATGCAGGGGTGGTGAGAGGATTCACCAGAGACAGAGCGGGGAGCAGAACAGGCCGACTGACAGAGTACACTGCTGAGGGGAGCAGCAGGCTGGCCAGGAGAGGTCTGCCACGCCATGTGGGTCTCCTCCAGGGCAGGCGGGGATCAAACCCATGCGGAAGTGGCTTAAGTTTCCTTGTGCCATGCTTTAACCCGCTGAGCCACCAGGGAGGGCCCAGGACTCTTTCTTTTTTAAATAATAGTTTATTTTTACATCATTTTGTGTATTTTTCCATCTCAGTGGTAAACCCCGTGGGTTTCCCATCACCAAGACACCCGTGTGCCATCACCATAGCCCAGTGCATTTCCCTCTCCCCACTGTTTTTGATCCCATTCCCCACTCCACCCCCACAAAATGTCTCTGGTATATAGCTGTTCATTATTATTATTATTTTCTCGCCTGGTCCCTTATACTCTTGCTATGAGTGAAACCATCGCTATTTTTCATTTTCTTTCTGGCTTATTTCACTAAGCATGATCTTTTCCAGCTCCATCCATGTTGCTGCAAAAGGCACGTGTTTCTTTTTTATGGTTGCTGAGTAATATTCATTGTGTATATGTACCACATCTTTTTAATCCAGTCATACACTTTTGGGTATTTGGGTTGTTTCCATGTCTTTCCAATTGTAAATATAGCAGCAATAAACATGGGGGGTGCAGGTATCTTTTTCAATCAGTGTTTATGTGTCTTTTGGGTAGATACCTAGGAGTAGGATTGCTGGGTCATATGGAAGCTCCATGTTTAGCAGTTTGTGGAATGTCCAAACAGTTTTCCATAGTGTTTGTACTAGTTTGCATTCCCACCAGCAGTGCAGGAGAGTTCCTTTTTCCAAAGGAAGGACTCTTAAGACCTCGCCCACTCTCTGCTGCTTTGTGCTCATCTCCTTCTTCACTGTTCCCTATCTCTCCAGCTGCCTTTTCTACTCCTCTGATCTAGAGTTATTCATTCAGCAACTATTAAGCTCTTCAATGTCCAAGGACAGTTAGGTGCCATTGTAGGTCTAGAAGAAGTTCATGTGTATGTGTGTGTGTGTAGACAGACAAAATAAACACAGTATATCAGAATGGGGTAAGAAGCATAGAGAAAAATATAACTAGATAAGAGGGATAAGGAATGCTAGGCAGGGGATTTTACAGATTTACAAAGGGAGGTCAGGGAAGGTCTCATTAGGAAAGGTTAAGCAGCACTCCGAAGATATGAAGGACTGAGCCAGGAAGATCTTTGGAAGATTCATATTTTAAAATAAGGAACATCAAATACAAAGGTTCTATGGCAGACGGGTGCTTGATTTACTCAAGGCAGAGCGAGAATGGATTTCTGTTGGTTAAAATAGAATAAATGTGTGGGAGATTGGCTTAGAGAAGCAGTGGGAGACCTAATCATGGAGGGACTTGTAAGGAATTTAATTTTTTATTCTGGGTAATTTGATCAGAGCAGTGATTTACTTTCCCCCATCCCAGCTTAAATTTCCTGTAGAACAACTTTTTTTAAAAAACAACTTTTTATAACAATTGTTCCTATACGACTGAGAAATGATTTCAAAAGATGGGCTACATGGCATTAAAGATTTCTTCCTTATTTAAAAAGAAAAAAAAAACTTTAATCACAGAAGTTCAAACATACCAAAGTAAGAGAGAGGTTATAATGGACCCCATTGTATACACATATCAGCCAGCGTCAACAGTTGTGATCATAGGGTCCATCTTATGTCATTTATATATTCATGTCTGTACCCCTCAGGATTATTTTTAAACAACTTCTTGCTACCATATAATTTCACACTTAAATGCTTGTGTTTCAAAAACAATTAACAGAAATTCTTTAATACTAGCAGACATTTCTCTTGATTCTTCCAGAGTTTCGTTTTCTGTTTTTGTGTTCAGATCTAGAGCAAAGGTTACACATAAACAAAAATACATGGTTGGTTAACATTTCTTATTTCTTTTTTTAATCTGTACATTCATTTTTCCTCTTATAATTTATTTGTTGAAGAACTTGGGATGGATCATTTGTCCCATAGAATTTCCTGCATTTGGATGTTGCTAATTGTATCCCTGTGGGCTCATTTAATATGTCCCCATGTCCCTACAAGAAAGGTAGGATAAATGCTTGAGTCTCCCTTTTTAAAAAATAAAATTTATTTTTATTTCATTAACATACCTAGTTTTTTCCTTGAGCTATGCTTTTTATTTTAACTCTGATAATAATGATTTGAAACACTGAGTTTTTAGTACAGTTTCATACCCTGAGGATGTGTACATCATAACCACACCTCCCACCATCCAATTGAACCCCTGTACTCCTCCCCTCACCCACCTTTCTTTCTTTCCAGTAATTATCATTCTGCTGTCAGAAGATAAAGGGTTTTGTGGCTTTTTGGTTTTTTTTTTTTTTTGGTCATTGGCTTTCTTTATAGTCTACATGAGTAAAATCATGTGGTTGCCTTGCTTTTTCTGACTTATTTCACTAAGTATAATCACTTTAAGATCCATCATGTTATAAATGGCAAGATTCATCTCTTCTTCTCCTTACAGCTGTGTACATACACCTCATCTTTAGCCAGTCATTCATGGAGTAGCACTTAGTTTCTAAATCTTGTATTTTGTGGATAGTTTTTCAGTGAACATGGATGGTCCGTATCTGTTGTTTTGAACTAGTATTGTTGTGTTCTTCAGATAGATACCTAAAGGTGTAATTGCTGGGTCATATGGTTGTTCTCTTGTAAATTTTTTGAGGACCCTCCATACTGTTTTCCATAGTGACTGCATAAGGTTATATTCTAGTCAGTAGTGTATGAGGGTTCCTTTTTTCCCACACTTTAATCAACATTTGCTGTTTCTCATCTTTTTGATAAGGCCATTCTTACAGGTGTGAGATGATTCTTTCCCTTATTAGTAGTTGTCAGAATTAAGAAGTTCGTCCCTACTATCTTAGATAGATCACCAACGGATTCTACCCCCTCCTTTGTATCATTATGAATACAATAGGGTCTTAAAGCCTATTTTATATATTTATATATTTTCTTTAAGATTTATTTATTTGTTCATATGGAACTGGGGTACAGGGCAGAGGCTCAGGGGCGGCGAGAGGCTTCACCAGAGACAGAGTGGGGAGCAGAACAGGCAGATCTACGAAGTACACTGCTGAGGGGAGCAGCGGGCAGGTCAGGAGAGGCCTGCCACGCCATGTGGTCACCTCCGGGGCAGGCGTGAATCTAACTCATGCGGAAGTGGCTTTAGCTTCTCAGTGCTGTGCTTTAACCCACTGCGCCACCAGGGAGGGCCTATTTTATATTTTTCAATCTGTTGCAGTTGTTATTCTTTCTTGATGCTATTTTTTTTGGAGAGGAGGTTGTAATTAGTCCTTTCATTACATATTTACTTCTAAGTTATTTTGATAAAATTCCAGCAAGCTTTCATAGCTTCCTTGCTTTTTTGTATAACATGGTGTTCCTGGCTGAGCTTATATACTTCTTTCCCCAAATAGGGAAACAATAATTTCTCCAGGTACTTGATGCTTTTTAGTAGTAAATGGCATTAAGACACCACAGCGTGAGTTCTGGGGGTACTGACTGGATTGTTATTTCTTGAAGATTTTTTTCAGGAGATAAAGCTTAGCAAAAAAAAATTTTTTTTTAATTTCTTTTAGAAGAAACACAAAAGTAAATGCTGTAATTCCAATTCAAATTTAGGATTACTAAGTGTTTACTTAACTTTTTTGCTTTATATTTATGTATCATCTATGCCAAAAATTCTGATTGCAAAATAGAAATTGTTGAGTGTGACCACAGAAATCGGGACAAAACAGAAATACCAGCATCATTGCTCACAGTATGATTACCAAAACCAGTTGAAATTTTTTTGCTCTTTTAATACATTCCTTTAGGAAGTTTGTAGTCAAATTGCTGTGATAGTTATTTAAAATAATTCCTCTGTAGTTATCAGTTCAGCATGACACTTAGCTTCATTTATATCAGTTTGTTTTATTTTTAGAGACTGCTTTTCATTTTCTTTAATAACTAAAACATTTACATGGTTCCAAAGTTGAATACATAAAACAGGGTGTAAAATTGGGGACACCTTGCTGTTCCTACAGAGTGTCAGATTTTGGTAGTTTGTCCACTTAAAACTATATGCATATTTTCATTCATATCCCTCTTTTTGGATTAAAGACAGCATGCTGTGTGCTCCCTATATGTGGCGCTCTTTTTGCTTTAGCAGCACATCCTGAAGCAAATGTAGAGACACAGGCTTCATTCCCTTTACAACTTCATAGCACCCCATGATGAGGTGTGCCGTAACTCAGCTGCCTAGCCCTATGGGGAGTATTTGATTATTTTCAGGCGTTGGCTGTTGCAGATGTCACTGTAGTAAACAGCCTTGTGCACTTGTTTTGTTTTGTGGGCATGTTTTGTTTTGTGCACATGTTTCCTTTCATTCCAAAGTATAGCTAAGATTGGAATCTGAAGGTAGTATTGGGACAAAGGACTAAACATTGTTTTCCTCATGTTTGCCACATTTCCTTCAGTGGCTTCACCAGTTGCATTCTTCCGCTAATGTGTAGAGTGACTGTTTACTCATGCGTCAAACATCTAGCCTTCCTCCATCTGAGAATGTGGATGGTACCTCATGAAGCTTCTGTGTTTGCATGTCTCTTGTTCTGAATATGGTTGAGCATTCTTTTCATTTGTGTAACAGCTATTTTCATTTCTTTGTGGCTATTTTCTATTTCTTGTCATTTTTTCCTATACCATTGTTTGATCTGAGGAGTCTTCATATGTTAGGAATATATTAGTAGTATTAACTTTTATTCTTTCCTAGTTAATAGTTTTTCTTTCCACTTAGCTAAAGTTTTTTTTTTCTCTATGCAAAATTTTTCATATGGTTAAGAAACAGAAACAGAAAGACCAGTTTGAAAGAGCTGCTAATGATCTAATTTGGGTAACTGTAGAGGTGATTCTGGATCTCTTCTGCAGGCTCTGATGCTGAATAGAGTGTAAAGTGTGAAATAAAGGGAAAGCACCTTGCATTGTTCCTGGGTTATAGTAGGTATTTTAATAAAAGGAATATTCCTTCCCAAAGTGTAACAGTAAAAATGTTAATAAATTACAGGTCAAATAGTAGATTTAAAATACTACTTTAATGTAGTATTATTCTATAACTTTTCAAATGTGCATTTAGTTTCTTCTGATTATATGTATTTATATGTTCTGTAAATAATTGTGGAATTGGATACTCAAATGGCTACATTTTAAAAAGGAATTAGACCCTTTCCTCCTGTTTGCTGCTTAAATCTAAAGGAATTCATTTGATACATCTGTCACATTAGTTTGTTAAAAATACATACTTTTGGCCCTCCCTGGTGGCCTAGAGGGTTAAAGCGCAGCAAGCTCGCCACAGCCACTGCTGTGTTTGATCCCTGCCTGGGAGGCAGGTGTAGCAGACTACTCCTGTCTCGCCCCCCTGCTCCCTCAGGAGTGTGCTTGGTGGATCTGCCTACTTTGCTCCCCAGCCTGTCTCTGATGAATCCTCTCACTGCCCCTGCACCACTGGCCTGTACTGCAGTTCTGTATGCATAAATAAATAAATCCTTAAAAAATATGTATATACTTTTAGTTAAATTAAAAAAAAATTCTAGGAAACTATTTCCAACTTCTCTTTGGTCTCAGTTCAATTTGGTTACGCTCAAGAATGAAGTAGGATTAAAGCTATTGCAGATTTTAAGATCTGTAATTGACTTATTTAAAAATTTAAGTATGGAAAATTTCTAGCCACAAAAATAAAAGGGAAAGTATAATGAACCCCTGCGTACTTAACATCTAGATCCTACCATAAATGATATTTGGATTAATTTGGAAAATTGAACCAGCTTTGAGAAGATATGGAACTAACTTGTCTTGATTCGCTAATGAATAAGAGCTAAAGATTCTGATTTAACAATTTAATCTGAATTCCTTCAATTATTATTTTATTCATTGATTCATGTAACAATATTTAGTGAAGATCTACTTTGTTCGTTATACTAAGAGCCTTGACAATGCACAAACTTTAGTTCTGCTACTACTTACTATTTAGGTCTAACCAAAAAAATCCTAAACTTCAGTTTTATGTGGACAAAATTGAGATCATGCTACTATATACTTTATGGTAATATTACAGTGTTTGTTACTATTACTATAAACATTCTTTTTCCTTTTCCTCCTCATCTTTGTCATCCAGATTTTGTGCAAGGTGTTATTGGACACTGTAAAAGGATTAAGATGTGGACCTTGACCTTGATGAATTAGAATTCCTATATCACATGATACTAGAACCAGGAGAGATCTTCAGAATTATCTACTCTGACAGATGCAGAGAGGATTAGAGAATTGTCTGGTATTGCACAGCTGCTTTTGGTGCAAAGCTTGGCCAAAGCTCAGGTCTTCTAGCTGTGATTGCTCTCCTTAGGGATTGACTACTCTTTGGTTTGTCTTGCTTCTCCCCCTCCCTTCCCCCAACCTAGTCCATCTAAACTGATAGGCTTGACCTGTGCCTTTCCGGTGTGCAAAGTTTGAAGTACCTGTAAAGGTTTTTATGCATGTCAGACCTGAATTTGTCTTTGGATACCCTCTCCTTCAGGTTCCAAGGAGGAATTTAGGAAATGTGGCCAGGCTGTCTGTGTGTGTAATCACAACGATGTTTTTAATCTTCCTCTTGTATCACAGCCCAGGAGTTAAAGTCACTCTTTGAAAAAAAGTCCCTCAAAGAGAAGCCTCCGAGTTCTGGAAAGCAGTCAATGTTATCTGTGCGTCTGGAGCAGTGTCCTCTGCAGCTGAACAACCCTTTCAATGAGTACTCCAAGTATGATGGCAAGGTGAGTGGCCAGGAAGCCAGCCTGCTTGTTGTGAATACTGATGCAGCATTTCCAGTAGGTCAGTAATCAGAGAAGGTTACACACATTTTCTCAGGCCATAGATAGAAAAACATACAAATTTGGGCTTAATGTTTCGACAATATCATGTTTGGGAGAGTTAAAACAAAAACAGTCCGAGATAGATGTGCGTGTATTTTTAAAATTTTATCTAAGTGTTCTTGAGTGCTTGGGTTAGTTAGTTGGGTTGTGATTGATCAAGATCTAATTGTGCTGGGAAAGCCTTGCCAGTGGTTCTGAGAGGCCATTGCATTGTATTCTCTGTACCTTTACTATAAGTGCAGAAATCCGCAAAATTGGAACTTCAGTTTTGAGTTATAGACTATTGCTTTGCATTTCAGTATTTCGTTGTGGGGAATCTTAATTTGAACTTGTTTACAGGATGACTTTACTATATTTTTTTCTTGTTTATTCTAAGAGTTGCAGCTGTAAAAATAAAGTGTGTTCATTTTCCTCTTAGAAAAATTACTGCTGTTTTAGGTGGAGTGTATTCCATGGGCAGCGCTCTCTCCCCTCCAATCCCTGTCGTTTGTGTCTGTGCTGAGCTGGACCCCTTTTAGGATACTGCAGTGGTTGATTTTTATATTTATTGCCACTGTGTTTACTGTCTGGCAGGGGTGCTGAGTGATAGCTTACTGCCTGGAGGGGTTTTGTATAATTTGTCTTATTTCAACACCATTGCAATTAGTAAGTATACAGCTCTCTGCTTATGTTTGCATTTTTCACATTCAGGTTCTGGTTCTGTGCCGGTACTGTCATCCTTGAGCAAGGGGATGTTTTCTCTTCCAGGCACTTTTACCTCCTACAGTTTAGCATGCTTCTGTAGGTTTAGGTAAGCATATATGGTTAATGGCATATGAGGTTATTAACATTTGTGGGGGAGAAAAGCAAAAGCTGGAAATAAAATGCATAGATAACATAGATCCTGATATGGTCAGGACCTTCCTCCAAAAAATACCTGAAAATACTTTTAGTAAATCAGAAATTGTATTGATATAATGCTTCTCTTTAACCTGCCCCTGTCTGCAGCTGACTGTTTTCCTTTGTGAAATGTAACAGAGAAACACAGGTCCCCCTAGGGGACAATGGTGTCAGCCTCTGGATCATGGCAAGTTGGAGTATAGAGGATTTTTCTTCAATACTACGATTGATTCATGTAGATACGTGGGAAGATAGAGGGACTAAGTTACATGGCTGAAATGTGTCAGCTTCTGCTGCCTGCTATCTCATTATTTGAGGATGCAATTGCTAGGCTAATTAATATCTAATAATGGTTTGATGCCAACAAACTAGCAAAGATCTTAGAAGATATTATATTCTAGATTTCTCATTATACCCTTAGAATATATTATAAATTACTTATGTTTGGATTTATCAGAAGGTTGTGAACTCTGCTTGGTATATATCTAACTTCCGATGTTGCAGGGGGAAATTAAAGGAAAAAAAACTATAATGAAGCTATTTCCTTAGTCACAAAGGAATTGTTTTCTTTTTTCAGGTATGTGTACTTACACTTAAGAATCTAAGATGCTTTTGTCCTATCAAGTCTACATAGTCAGCAAAGGATGTGAGCAATGGGCAGACACTACACACATTGGTGAAGAAAGATTTATGTATCGATAAGTCTGCCTTATAATGCAATGCTATTTTATTATTACCCTTCATATTACAATTGCTAAAATACAATTAAACCCTTGTTTTCATCTATTATTTAATATTGATGCATTTGGCAGATATGTAATAAAAGTGGCTAATATTTGAAGGATATTATATTGTACGTATTAAATTAGTCTTTATCTTTGTGAAATGCATCAATATGATATTCAATGACATCTCAATGATTAATAGAGAATTATACTTGAATCAAGCCTTTCTGTAACCTAGAAATTAAAATGACTATTCAAATAACACCTCAAAATGATCAAATTAGCATTTTGTGATTGCATAATAATGGGATTGTGGTAGTTATACGGTACCATGACTGCCTCTAGAGTTAAGATCATGTCAACCCCTTGATAATAAAGCCTTTTCTGTGAGAGTCGACTTTAATAATTTCCAGATTGATTCTTCCTATAAATCATTTGACATTCAGCACTAAATTTTTGTTACTGTTGTAACTTAAAATTATTTTATTTTTATTCAGCTCATATTTAAGAAGTGAAATTAGTGTCCTGTTTTAATAATTCACCATCTTGTCATGGCACGCCAAGCTTTTTGCCTCAAATGTAAGGGTTTCCTGTGGATTTTGATAGTCCTATTTTTTTCTTTTTGCAAAGGTTTGTTAAAGCCTCTAAAATATGTACAGTTTTCCCCCTACAAATATTCACAATGCTTTTCTTGGGAATAATGCTTGCCTTATTTACATAATTAACTGAGTTGCTTAGGTCTCTTGGGCAAATGGTACATAATTGGGGAGAGAAAGGGACAAGGAAGAGTTTGGGGTCTAATTAAATATGCTAAAAAACTACTTAATTATATATTTCCTCGAGAGACTAACTGCTGTGAAATCCTCCTTAAGATTAAACTAGTGTTAAATTTGAAAAAAGAATTTTGGTTTTGGTCTGGCTTTAAATTACGTTGTAGTTAAGCAAGCACATTTAGTGTCTTTAGCTGTTTATGCAGACTGGATCACTGGTTTCAGTGATTCTGAGGGTAAGCATTTCTTAGCTATTGTGTGAAAACAGTACCTTTGAAATATTAAAGCGAATTCTTTTAAATGTTTGGTTCCTGTAACTAGTTAGTAATCTTTGAAAATTGTGGTTGGTTAATTTCTTGAAGGGTGCAGTTGAGAGGGAAGAACTGTCCCGAGACATGGACTTAGTAACACACATCTGCTATGATCAGGTTTGTTTTGATATTGTAATGTTTATACCACTTCTTTGGAAAATTGGTGATGCTGTGTTCTGTTTGGGATTCATTGATTATTAGTAATTTTCCTGGATCTTTTGAAAAACACTCACGATAGATTGAAAGTGGTTTTTGAGAGCACCAAGTAGACTCCCAACAAGACTGTGCCTGCTGAAAATAAGCCCTCATTAACGTTGAGACAATGGAAAACACCCTGTGCCAGTGCTTCTGAATGTGGTGATGTCCAGTGTGATGGGAGCAGCTTTGAGTTGATGCGGGAGCCTGGTCTACTCTGACAGGCTGTGAACAGTTAGTGCAGTGCCCAGAATATGTGGATGGCCTGCCAGTGTCTCTCCACTTGTTTGAGATGAGGTAGATGTTGTTTTAAAAAGTATCAATCTCTTTCTATCCTGTATGTCACCACTTACTTGAGAAACTGTTACTAGTGTGTCATCACTGCTCTGTTTAAACTGGGCTTGCAAATATTATCCTCAGTAGACCCTTAGAAGCCCCAATACCCTTTTCCTGTCCTTACAATTACAAACAGAAAATGCTGCTACCAGTTGTTGCCTCAGTTAGGTTTTTCTTCCTCAGTTTCTTTACCTATGAAAAGAAGCGAGTTCAATCCCCACAAGGCCCATGAAACTATCAAATAAGATAAAGCACCTAGCACAAAGAGGTGTTGGAGTTTAGTTCATAAGTAGTCCTGTTTTGTAGTAAAATTTGAGTTTGAGTCCTGAGTTGACAGTTTATAGTGTGACATCAGACTAGTTGTTAATCTCATGAAGCTCCAGACATTATATGAGGAATGAGATGACGACAGTGCATCTTCCTATGAGGATTAATTGGAATAAAGCCTGAGATTAGCAAAACATACAGTACATAGGAAGTACTCAACAAATACCGGTCTCTTGCCTCTTTCTCTGTAGAGTGGGGCCAGTGATATCCACTCTTCTGTGTAACTGTGAGATGATTGATAGGATCTTGCGAGAGGAAATGTGTTCTTAAAACCAGGACTTTAGAAAATCCTCGTTAAATAAGGTGCTTAGCAGAGTAGATGAAGATTTTGGTCTTTGACTTTAAACAAGAAAGATTTAGATAAGTAATTACTTAACTTTTTTTTTTTCAATGCTATTTTTTAAGCACAAGGTGAGAAGGTACTGGTTGGTTTACTAAAATGTTAAGTTCTTACTTACTTGACTTAGCTAAATTTTACTCTGAATATAAGAAGAGTGTTTGCCTTGACAAGTGCTTAAAAATACAGAACCAGTTCAAGTTCATGTAGTCAACTGTGACTTTGATTGTGTTAACTTATTAGAAAGTAAGTAACCATTTCTGTTAGAAACTGTTTTAACAGGGAAGCTGCAGAGAACGTGGGGGAAGGGATAATTCATGAGTGCTAATTGCTTGGCTGTTAATTTTCATAAGTGTTGATAGAAGCAGTTCCTTAAATTAAACTTTGTTTAAAATGTATCAAGGGAAATATTCCACAATGTCGAGCCTGAAGTGAAAATTAATATGAATGCTGTGGCAATTAACACATACTGGTTAATAGCTTTTAGCAGCATTTTGGGATGATAGTCCTTAAATACATTTTTGCATGCTGCTCTTGTTTCAGCATTGTTCCAGTCTATGTCTGGATAATTATGAACAAATGTTTTCTATAATCATTGGCATTAAATGGCTCTCTTCAAAGAAAGTCACTTAAAAGTTTTCAGGAAAGCATAAAGCCACTGAGAAATATTACAAACTCCAAAAAGTTCAGGGAATTGAAATCTTATAAGTAAAAATACTGCCTTTACAGGAAATGCTCCTCAGCTTGATTTGGAACATTTGCTCTTGTTGGGGGATAGTTCCCACCAGTAGGGTAGACTACCTTAGCTTCAGAATGAGGGTGCAGCATAATGCTCTATCACCTGACTCCGCACCATAGGTGTGCTCCTGGGTCTACTACTTAGGGTCCAGTAAGAGACGATTCTTTAAAAAAAGAAAAAAGAATTCTAAGGTGACTATTTTGAATTAAGAGCTAGTTGTCCCACTCACTGACTTCAATTTATGTATATTTTAAATAAAGGAGAGTAAAGTCTCAGCATTAT